TGTTTAGTGTGTATCTACACCAGTTAACTGATCAGGACAACACAGACGTGTTTAGTGTGTATCTACACCAGTTAACTGATCAGGACAACACATACGTGTTTAGTGTGTATCTACACCAGTTGACTGATGAGGACAACACTAACCTACGCGTTTATTATATCCTATTCAAGTATGCTGTGCAGGTAAATAATCTTCGCTGCATTAAATGACAACTTTTAAAGTTCCTTCCCTTGTTATTCGGCCAGCCTATTTAATTAAAAAAATTTTTTTGCTATTGCGTATATTTTTGATTGACAGAATATTTTTTTTACACGTAAAAGTTAAACAAATGAATTCTTAACTAAAAAAAAACCCAAAACAAACAAACAATTAAACAAGCAAACAAACAATAAGACCCAGAGATGTGACCTTGAAAATGTCCCTGGTCTGAATGATTCACTTGATATTTTTTCATCACCAATAAAAACTCTAGGATATGTAAGTATACATGGCTGTAAGGATGCGCTCAATAGGGGCGTGAAGTAACATATCCAGAAGCTATCACTAATTGCGATTCTTATGAAGTGTACATGTTTTGCTAAGTAACTTGAGGAAATGGGAAGTTCACGCACCGCCATCACCTTTGTTTCTAGGGTTATTTTTAGTTAGCTTATGATTAAATTGCTGAACTATCTACTCTGTAATACGACTACTATTCAGATTCATCTGTGTCACTATAAGTAACATCTTCTTACATGTGCTGCCCTACTCTTGTAAAGCGTTATTACTTAGATCCAAGATATGCATACGCAACGTACCAACAGTTACATTTAGATATAACACAGCCTTACAACAGCTGCCTGCCATTGCACAACTATATCATTTAGACTCACGACAGCTGTACAAAAGCTACCTACCATTGCACATTTATATCATTTAGACACACGACACAGCTTTACAAAAGCTACCTACCATTGCACATTTATATCATTTAGACACACGACACAGCTTTACAAAAGCTACCTACCATTGCACAATTATATCATTTAGACACACGACAGCTGTACAAAAGCTACCTACCATTGCACAATTATATCATTTAGACTCACGACAGCTTTACAAAAGCTACCTACCATTGCACAGTTATATCATTTAGACACATGACACAGTTTTACAAAAGCTACCTACCATTACACAACTATATCATTTAGACACAGCTTTACAACAGCTGCCTGCCATTGCACAACTATATCATTTAGACTCACGACAGCTGTACAAAAGCTACCTACCATTGCACAATTATATCATTTAGACACATGACACAGTTTTACAAAACCTACCTACCATTGCACAACTATATCATTTAGACACAGCCTTACAACAGCTGCTTCCAAGTGCACAACTAACACATTTAGACACACGACACAGCTTTACAAAAGCTACCTACCATTGCAAAACTATATCATTTAAACACAGCTTTACAACAGCTGCTTCCAATTGCACAACCCATTTAGACACATGGCACTACTAACCAACAGCTGTCTCAAGCGACTCTCAACAAACACGCGTTATACTCTCTGAAGTCCAAAAGCATTTCTTGTATTGTTTTGAGTATTACCTTGTCAATTTGTTGCGTGTCATACCGTGATCCTAAGTTTGAATGAACCCGTTTAGTCATTTTGGTCAACGGCTAAAATGTGAATGGTGCTCGTCAGTAGTGGCGTAGGGGTGACGTCATGGAGATGATTTGCAGAACGATCCACGCCAGTCCAGTTGGGTGGACGGTAGAACATAAACAATGGATGATTCATAACTAATTACAGATGTCTATTCATGTCAGGTCAGTACAAAACTTAACTCCATAGTTTCTCACTTCATTGCTGTAAAGGAGGAGGGAGTGTTGGAGGAGGGAAGTTGTGGACTACGCACTGATATTATTTGAACGCATGCAATAAGCGTAAGAAAGGAGGAGAGGTTTGGGGGGTGGGGGCAAGAAATGGGGGAACTATCCTATCCAGATGGCCGTTTTTTAGCAGCTTTTTCAACCTCAGCTTTGCGGGTGGGTGGGGGCTTGGAAGAACAATGAAAAGGAAAAACCCCATAGTTATTTGAGTATCTTACAATTACGACATACGGGGAAGTTTTCAAGGCGAAAGTTGGACATATTATTATAGAATTGGTGTATGGGGTCTCCCGGATTTACAGAGTGTCTGGGTGCAACTCGTGAGGGGGGGTCATTAAAAAAATACAAACGTTTTTGTTTCTTAAAAGTATATTCGATATTTGATTCTATGTGGCTTTTTTTCATAGTAAATTTTGAGGTTGAATCAATGTCTTACTAATGTTTCTTTCAGGCAGCTGTCCCGGGAGTACTGGTAGCAGCCCCCCCCCCCTCCCACTCGGGAGAAAATTAACTGCCCCTTTCCCTGGAGAGTAATCTGTACAAAAATAGATATATTTTATGGAAAAAAAAAAGTATAATTTGTCATTTTATAACATTTGTTTAAAGAATAGTAACTGGTGCCTTTAACCGATTACAATTAGTGGAATCTACGAAATGTATACTTGATGATCCGTGTATTTAAGGCTAATCTTGTCTGAGACTTACACTAAGGAACACTACTCCATTCAAAAATCGCATTGCTCCGAAATCAGTCTTACTTCCCTTTGTTTCCAACTTTTTTTTTTTTTTTGTTGTTGCAACTTCACAGGTTTGAAGACTTTAATAACACGGTACCTTTACCTCAATATCAAGGTCTCTACTTTTGATATAGTTTTACATAAGTATGGAACATATGCAATCTGATTCCAGATTGTATTTCATCACAAAAGCGTGGTCTTTTAAAGTAGGGATAGGTGTTAATTGAAAATTGGTTTATGACACTCTACTTTAAAGAATTTAGTTATTAACATAATTTAAATGTACTAGATTCTCTAAATGTTGAGCTAGATGAAATGGAAACTTTAAACACAAATTTAGAATGTAACGGACGCATTACACACTGTGCATGTTTCATCAGTTATTATTAAATCAATGGCGTTTGCTTGATATGAATGTGCTACTTTCGTAACAGTTTTCTGAATAAACAAGCTTTACAAAAATACTTAGCAGATGTATTCAGATTCAACTACTTTTCTCTTTTTTAATATAAGAATAATGGCATGTTTTTTTGTTTGTTTTTTTTTAAGTTTAATCTTTTTAAATGAGAATCTGGATTTTAAAAAAAGTTTTTGTGACCTAGCGTTTCGGTTAAAATGACATTTTCTATTTTTACTAGTTTCCACAATGTGTTGAAGTATAATCAAAGAAGCAATTTTTTAAATGATCTGACTAACGTTATAGTAGTTTGAAATTCCAATTAATATTTCATCACCTGAAGATTTAGAAATGTATGGGCTCCTTAATTTTTTATACGTTATCCCTCAAATAGAATCGCACATAAATGTATTAATAAATATCCGTCTTTTGTAAACAACTCACGTCTTCATAACATAAATATCCCATTCATATATTATGATTTATAAAAATGACCAGTGTCAATAACCCTTAAAAAATGTATAAACCTGTCAACAAAGTAGTCAAATTTAAATTTCGAGTTGGTAAATATTGGAAATATTTAGAAAAGGTTATTATTATCCCTATCTTTTGTTTCCCCTTCATGTGTGTTCAACATGTAAACATGATGTTAGTTGTTAGCGGTGCTTATTTGTGATGGAAAATAATTCAATTATTATTTTAGTAGTGCATGCTTATAAAACAACCAAGTCAAGCACAGCCGACACTTGACTTTTCAAAGCCACCTACCATTTTTTTGTCCAAATGACAACTTGAAGCCCCTAAAATATCTGAAGTCATCGGCAACCTTTGGGTTGCAGGGCCCCCACGATTGCTCTGGGTCACTAAATTGTTGGACTGACATCTCTCCTTTTGCTCTCAGTTAAAACGTAGGGTAAGCCAAAAGCCAATCAGGACTAAAATGCATTCTTGTACTTTGAGTTTATCAAAAACTTGCTGGGGGGCTATAAATATAAAGATTTAAGGGGCAATACTAAGCTAAGACAAAAACATATACCCAAGGGCGCCACAACTGGAATGAATATAGTTCATGTTGGACTGAAGCTCAGTTAGAGATGTCCCTGATAGTTATTATGGTTAATTTTGGCGCCAAAATGCAACTCTGGATTTTGAATTCATCTACCCCCTACCCCCCCCCCCACCCCTCAATTTCTGCAACTTCTTCCTTCATGTCGATCAACGTGGAGTATGGGTTTGAATCTAAGCATGCGCCCATTGCTTACACAAAGGCGCACAACAACTAGAGTTTATTCAGTTTTTAAGCACCATAATGCTTCCCCCGGACGTTTAAAAAATTGACAGTTTGACACTGGCTACTAATTACATAGACAATGTTACTCTAGCCAAAACTGAAACCAGGCTATGTGACTCTCTGGCCACCTTTTAACCAGTCGATTGTAGCACCACATTGCAGCACCACATAAACTTTGTTTTGGGACCAGGAGGGGTGGGGGGTATATGCTGAGACAAGTCTAATTATAGCTGGTCAACCCAACATGAAACATTGAATGGTAATATATTCTAATCCTTGATAGAGCAATGGATCAATGCTCATTAAACACCCAACGCTGAGCCCAGCATTATTTAAAAGTAACTCTTCATTCAGCATTGTTGAAATCTGGAACACAAATCCTGTATTGATACAAAGACTTCAATTTGTTATATTACACCAGCAATGAGCTACCTATATAAGCACATATGTTGTGACAACGTCGGGAAAGTAATGTTTCTTTCTGTCTCTTGTAAGAGAGTTGTTCTTCTTTGGCACAGAAGATGACCAAGGCTATATTCCACGATCAGTAGATGAGTATGAAGGTGGCCTGCGAATCCTATTTGTAACTAAGACATCTAGAAGTAATTGAGTTCAAATTACAGAGTAACAAGTTCAGAATGTGACAAAGTACAATCCATTGGTTTAAAAAAAATTAACACTATACATTCAGAAAATAAATTTTATTTCATTTAAAATACATTTAACATTGATTTACAGATCTACAAACCTCTTGCAAACTGCACCAATTGCTCTTATCTATGACACACCCCTTGCAAACTGCACAAGTTGCTCTTTTCTATGACACACCTCTTGCAAACTGCACCAATTGCTCTTATCTATGACATACCCCTTGCAAACTGCACAAGTTGCTCTTTTCTATGACACACCTTTCGCAAACTGCACCAGTTGCTCTTATCTATGACACACCTTTTGCAAACCTCACCAGTTGCTCTTATCTATGACACACCCCTTGCAAACCTCACCAGTTGCTCTTACCTATGACATACCCCTTGCAAACCTCACCAGTTGCTCTTACCTATGACATACCCCTTGCAAAGCTCTTATCTATGGAATTAAACATCTGATGTGCTGTAGTTCTTGCAACCAAATACTTTGATTAATATATTCTGAGTCCATTGTTTTAACAGGCAAAAATTATAGGCATAATTAAAACAAATACAAATTTTGTACTATTTTAAAACATATGTGATTCTACTTAAAATATTTTGCTATTTATTTTATTATCAGGAACTGGTCCCAATGAGTCATACATGTTTAACTTTATAAAAGTTACAGAGAGGTCCTGGAATTTCGGTCATCTTAATTCAATGAAAGGAGACAGTAGATTTGAACAGATTTCAGGTGTCAAGAGCAAAAGAACATATTTTTGACTGCACAATTAGTTACAGGCAGTTAGTTATCAACAGTTAGCAATCAACAGTTAGTTATCAACAGTTAGCTATCAACAGTTAGTTTTCAATGAAATAGTTGTTTAAAAACACTAACAAGAAGATAAGTTGTCAGAAATTCAATCACTCAACATTTGGATCTGTCATATCTGAGCCGTCAGTGACATGGATCTACTCAGTACATAAATAAACCGTTTAACTTGCTTCCCAAACATTCTCACAACATTCAGCTCTATAATGCCATGTTAGATTGTCTCAACACATACTGTCATCCATGTCAATGAAGGCATTCTCAGCACATTCAGCTCTAGTCTAGCAATGCAATGTTATATTGTCTCTATACTGTCAGCAAATGTCATCAGCTGGTCCGTGCTCATGAAGGTTGTCTCCCCCCTGTTGACATCAATGACTTCAAACTGAGCAGGGCTTTCTAGGGCCTGTAACACATTAAAGGTCAAAGGTTAGAGTTGGTCATAGTCAGCAAACCTTAAAGTCTCACATTTAAAAAAAATAAAAAATTTCCATTTGGTTTAAATTTGAGTTCAATTAGTTCTTTAAATATAATATAAAAAATGTTTGGATGTTTACATAAATTAAAAATGGTTCATGTATTTATTAAAAGAACTTTTTTAAATTTTGGCACCAAGAGATAAGCAAAAGAAAAAGGCAGGAAATAAAGTTAGACTTTGTGTGACAAACTGTATTGGAAAACTGGCTCCAAAATTTATAACTACTGGTATTTGTAAACTTTTTCTTTAAAAAAGTTATAACTTGGTTTCAGTGAGGTGAATTATCTACCCTGAGTGAATGGAATAGGTTAAGATTAAAATAAGTTAAAATAGGTTAAGATTAAAAAAGTACTGTAAAATTGCTTTGATAACTTCTTACCTTGACTCCTAGTATAACAATATAAGGGTATCCAAGTCGATCACCATCAACATTTCTCCTGCCTATGGTCAAGGACATTCTGTCATCAATGACTACCTCACCCCTCAGATGTGGCCGTTGTGTCAAGGCATCACTAAGGGCTTCTGCATTGGCCAGGTATTCATCCCCTCTTGGTCCATCCTGGCATTTAAATAGTAATTTTTTACACTAAAGAGCCTTTTTTTTTTTGGTACATAGATTCAATCTGTTAAATAGGAAGGAATCATTCACAAACAGAAGTAATATAAAGTAACTAATTTTTTATATATCATTTCATTGTGCATATTCACCACAGAATAAAGTTGATTTTTAAATCTTCAGTCATAAATAATTAATTAACAAACTGAGGTAGAAGTTCTAGGTTCCAATCAATAAAAAATCAAATTCAAAATTTTACTCCAGCTGGGTGGTACATTTTCATTTATGAATCCAATTTTGTCATATTTTTCAAAATAAATTAAATGACAGAATTAAATCACCGGTTGGGTGTGCTATTGCTCAATTTTACATCTTTCCATGACACGTTCAAATCACCAGTTGGGTGTGCTATAGCTCAGTTGTACATCTTTCCATGACAGATTCAAATCCCCAGTTGGGTGTGCTATAGCTCAGTTGTACATCTTTCCATGACAGATTCAAATCACCAGTTGGGTGTGTTATAGCTCAGTTGTGCATCTTTCCATGACAGATTCAAATCACCAGTTGGGTGTGCTATACCTCAGTTGTACATCTTTCCATGACAGATTCAAATCACCAGTTGAATGTGTTATAGCTCAGTTGTACATCTTTCTATGACAGATTCAAATCACCAGTTGGGTGTGCTATAGCTCAGTTGTACATCTTTCCATGTCAGATTCAAATCCCCAGTTGGGTGTGCTATAGCTCAGTTGTACATCTTTCCATGACAGATTCAAATCACCAGTTGGGTGTGCTATAGCTCAGTTGTACATCTTTCCATGTCAGATTCAAATCCCCAGTTGGGTGTGCTATAGCTCAGTTGTACATCTTTCCATGACAGATTCAAATCACCAGTTGGGTGTACTATAGCTCAGTTGTACATCTTTCCATGTCAGATTCAAATCCCCAGTTGGGTGTGCTATAGCTCAGTTGTACATCTTTCCATGACAGATTCAAATCACCAGTTGGGTGTGCTATACCTCAGTTGTACATCTTTCCATGACAGATTCAAATCACCAGTTGAATGGGTTATAGCTCAGTTGTACATCTTTCTATGACAGATTCAAATCACCAGTTGGGTGTGCTATAGCTCAGTTGTGCATCTTTCCATGACAGATTCAAATCACCAATTGGGTGTGCTATACCTCAGTTGTACATCTTTCCATGACAGATTCAAATCACCAGTTGAATGTGTTATAGCTCAGTTGTACATCTTTCTATGACAGATTCAAATCACCAGTTGGGTGTGCTATACCTCAGTTGTACATCTTTCTATGACAGATTCATATTACCAGTTGGGTGTGCTATAGCTCAGTTGTACATCTTTCCATGACAGATTCAAATCACCAGTTGGGTGTGCTATAGCTCAGTTGTACATCTTTCCATGACAGATTGAAATCACCAGTTGGGTGTGCTATAGCTCAGTTGTACATCTTTCCATGACAGATTCAAATCACCAGTTTGCGGAGTGCTATTACTCAGTCAGGGCTTCATCTTTCTAGCGACTGTTGCAACAAGATAAGCTTCTTTACAATTTAGTGTTTACCTTTTTAGGAATAATGTAGATTTGATGTGGAGCTATGAGTTTTGGCCAGCGAAGGCTGTTCTCTGTTGACAGTGTTTCTAAGGATGCTTGTAGTATGCGTGTCATACCCAAACCAAAGCATCCCATATTGTAGTCTCTGAAACAAAACATATAAATCTAAAATACATTTTAATTTAATTGAAAAACAAACCTAAATGTGTAGCATTATAAAACCTGGTGCACTTGTTATCTCTAAGCTTGTAGAGCAATATTTACTATACAAAACTAAAATTGAATCACACAATAGAGCAACTTACATTGCAGAAATGCCATCCTGGTCTTTGTAGGTAGCTTTAAAGATAGATGAATATTTAGTACCCAGATAAAATGTGTGACCAACCTGAAACACATAATGGATGTTTTAAGTAAGTTTTCACACTTTATAAAAACCAAATCAATTGTAAAAGCAATCAAATTGTAGTACTGAATGTGTAGAATTAATACTTGAAACCTAAACTTACTTCAATGCCTTTTTTCTCTTGCAACTCACATTTTGTGGCAGGTAACTGGCATGTTTTAGGAAGGCTTCCGTCTTCTGTGGACACGAGATGTTGTCCAGCATAAGTGAAAAGGCTAGTTTCGACTGTTTTAACTTAAATGTAAACAACTTTTATTTACTCAAAGCAGATGACCGCACATTAGACGTAGTCAGTGCCAGACGTAGTCAGTGCTAGACATAGTCTGTGTTAGACGTAGTCAGCCATACATTAATGTTTTGATTGTAAAGTGCAAAATTGAAGAATTAAAGTTACAGGATTAAAAACATGAGTTCAAATTGAAAGAGCAGATTTTAATATGACATTTGGTACTGTTATACAGTTATACAAGTAAAAACTCTTATGAGATTTTATACTGTTACACAATTATACAAGTAAAAACTCTTATGAGATTTTATACTGTTACACAATTATACAAGTAAAAACTCTTTTATAAACATAGAAATTTGCCTTTAAATTGATTTTAAAAATTGCAAGTTCATTGAAATGAACACATTTGTTACATTTTATATCAAGAATTTTTTTGTTCTATAAGAAGTTCCCCTTAAAATGTGTTTTTTTTTAAATTTTCTGGAGAGTTTTGATCAGAGATTATGAAATAATTCATTTTGTCCACATGGTTAATGTAATGTCTCTGTTTTCAGAACATCTAATCATCTAAAAAATTTGTACAAGAGAATATGGGAGGTAGCATGTTATACAAAAGAGTAGTGATGAGATAAGAAAAATGGCTGAATCATGTGAGAAAGAGAGTGAGAGATAGGAGTAGACATTTTAGATCAGTTTGGACATACATATTAATAGTGAATGAATAAGGAGTGATCTTATATAGTTTTGAGCTGCATAGCATGTTACATTTACATTACCATTCCAAGGATTATCTATCATTTATATAGTTATTTTTTTTCTTGTGAATAAAGTACAGTGTGCGTAAAAGCAGACTTGACATTTTATTGAGAAGAAGTGGAAGTAAGAGTTGAATTAACAAGTTATAGAACTATTATCACTGTGAGTCACAGACACCGGATGAACAGTTAGCGGTACTTACCCACAGCCAGCTCTTTATTCATTCTCACACCACATCTGTCAAAAATTACAAACCATCAAACTTAATCTATGATATTGATGGATCAAGGAAAAGTATAGAGCATCATACTCAATCAAGGAAAAGAACATAAGCTGTATAGTGTTTGAACTTAAATACTTTTCTGTTGAAGAGCAAGAGCTGAAATGTTACAGCAAAATGAATCCTGATTACCTGTCACACAGCAAGATTGAGTCTTGCCCAATATCAGCCAGGTAGTGATACTCGTGAGAAAGGTTGCCACCTATGATACCAGTGGCACCAGAAACTGGAAAGGAATATTAACGATTACAGTTAAAAGCGTAAGAGCTGAAATGTCACAGCAATATATGATTACAGTGCAGTTTACACCATGGGTTTTGAGAGAAAACAATTAAATTATTATTAAAATAGGTTAAATCCACAAATAAAATTTAAAAATATCAAGTTACAAAGTTAAAATAAAGTGCATTGTACAAATTTTAAGTATACAAATAAAAGGTAAATTAGATCAGAGCTCTTCATTCAATCTCCATCAGTTGATTATTAAAAAAAACCCTAAAAATAAAGTTTTTTAGTTTTTCCTATAAACCCCTTTATATAAATTTTAAAATTATTTTATTTTAATATCCTTATGTCCCACCAGCTTTTACGCACCAGGTATATTGCACCAACTGTTTCAGAGAAACAAAAGAAAATATTATGCACCAAATGCACTTGCAATATTTAAAAAAAAAGAATCTCATTTAATGCTGTTATATGGTGATGAGATGTAAATCTCAAATATTGAATATTTATCTAATCTTAATATCAGACGACTATTTGTTAGGTAGTGCCTCTAATGCAGACCTGTTTAATAAGTGTTTACCCTCGAACTCCAAAAATCTTACAATATCGTCTCATAATCTCATACAGTATTTGCACCCAGTTTTTATTTTCACCCAAACTTTATTTATTTTATTTATGTATTCACTATTTCCCAAGTGTACTTGTATGAATTTAACACAGAGAGCCTGGTGAAAACCTGAATTAGGCATAGGTGCCGGAAAATGAAAATTTTAGACCCACTGGCGTATCCAATAAAATATATGTCACATGCACGTAGGACATGAGGTGGACTAAATATTACTGTAGTACCTCTACTACTTAGTACTGAGCATATGTACTGGGTTCATTTGTCAATTTAAATGGCTAAATTATGATGATATTTCCTACAAAACATTGTGTGATGCATTTACAGCATTCGCAATATAAATATGCTATTTTTGGACTTTCAGAGTTTTAGGATGAATATTGTAGAATTTTTGAATAACATGATTTATACTTTCTGCCGAGACACCGACCCCCCCCGGAAGTGGGTTAATCTGCTTTTGCCAGCCAGCCACGAACAAAAGCGAAGTTAATATAAAGCATTTAAAAAGAGAGTGGCACTCCACTTTTGGAGGATTAAATTGCCACAAATGTCAAATGGTCAAAGAGAGTGAAAAGGGGGAAACATTACTATAATACATTATAGGACAGTGTTACGGTTACTATAATAAATTATGGGTTGGTGTATATTTAATAAAAAACAATAAATATTTTTCAAAGAATAAAAAAAAGTTACTGGATGGTAACCATTTTCCATAATGAGCTCAGCAGAAGTGCTCAATAGTTCTATTCAAAGGTGTCATACGATTATTATTTTCTTTTTTTAATTTCAACATCAACATGTTCTTATGCACTTGCAGATTGGCTGAAGTTTTAAAATCTTTGCATAAAAATATTTATTAAAGGAAGTTTAAATGTGCATCAAAGTGAGCTTTGATCAGAAATCTTTAGTAGCCATAGGAATAGTCTGGGGTACTGGCACTATGTTTCTGGAGTTTCCTTTCTTAGAATTGTAGGATGGGCTAAAACAATTTAGGAAAAAATAAAGTCTAAAAGTTTAATTAGCCATAAACTTAGTCATTAATGGTATGGCAAATTTTATTATGAAATACTTGAAAACAATCAAATAATCAATTAAAATACCCACCTTTAATGTATTTAACTCCGATACGGTCAAAAATCCTGTCGTATGCTTGACATACTGTGCTGTATGTGACCAAAGCTGTTTCTTCATTTCTATCAAATGTGTACATGTCTAGATAGACAAAATATCAAATATGTACTTGTCTAGATAGATAAATGGCTAAATTTAACTTTCTTTGAAGATATTTTTCTTTTAAAAACTGTATTTTAACAGAAATATATTGTTTCATGGCAACTACGGTAAAAATAGCGTATTTTTGGAATGCATTTCTTTACTTTAACTTAACTTTCTTTCTAACTTATTGTAAGGCACTACACCTGCTTTCTAATTAATATGATTTGTCATCCTTTACCTTTCATTTCAAACTCACGACCTCTCAAAAGGCCATATTTTGGTGCCATTTCATCTCGAAATTTTCGCGAAATCTGTGAATGAAATAAGATTTAGCAAAATAAATCAAAAGGATTTTATCTGAAATTATTAAAATGTCCTTTTTAAATTCAATTTTTATTTTACTGTTTATTTTATCTAATAATAGCATTAATAATAGTTAATATGGAAACAATGATAATGTCAAGTCTACCTGGTAAAACCTGATGGGGAGTGCCTTGTAAGAGATTATTAATGATAATGTTAAGCTTACCTGGTAAAACTTGATGGGGAGTGCCTTATAAGAGATAATTGGCATAGATGCCAACAATTTTGTGACCAGCTCTTCATGAGTCTAAAAATACATAAATGAATTAAATGTAAAAGACCTTATTGGTTTATTATTATATATTTATATCATCGAGTTAGAACCTTCTACACTACATCAAAATATTGGCCAAAGTCAGTCAACCATATCTTAGTAATAAAATCCATTCCAATAATAAACCTCTAAGTCTTTCAATGTGTTTCAATGGCTAACACTAATTATGTATTAAAAGTGGATTCTTCATTGAATCTTGTCAATACTTCTCAATACTTACAGTGGCACAATATTTATACAAAATTACAAACGTAAAAATCCCAAGATAAATTCTGAATATATCTACATTGACCAGGCCTGCACAAAAAACAGCCCGGGACCGCATGCGGCCAGCCATCACCCATTTTACAGCCCGCGAAGTAACGAAATATTCTTTATATTATAATCTTCTTAATAGCTTTCCCCCCTGTCCTATTTTCTTTTGGCCTGCAGAAGTTTTTCATAAAGTATTATGGCCCGCCTTACATTTTAAGTTGTGCAGGCCTGACATTGGCCACAGGTCGGCAAGCTTTTTTTTTAAGTAAGACCCATTTTATAAATTATATCTCCTGTGAAAACATTATGGGAACCACAGGCAGGGCAGACATTATAAAGCGCGCAATCTTGTAAGGTTAAAACACTTAGTAGATCACTCCAATCATTGTAAGGTTAAAACACTTTGTAGATCACTGCAATCATTGTAAAGGTAAACAGTAGATCACTGCAATCATTGCCAAGGTAAAACACTTAGTAGATCACTGCAATTATTGTAAGGTAAATATACTTTGTAGATGACTATCGTTTTAAAGTCTAATAATGAAAAGAGCCAACCTCTGGCATAGACTAATGTAAATATAAGCTAACAAAATACTTACTGGCCCTAGACAATATTCATGCTTATGTCGATCTTTTAGTGTAAAAAGTTCAGCCCCAGCCTCTGTATATCTACCTGAAATTAATTATTCAATTAAAAAAAATTATTTCAAAAATTAATATTTAAATAATGTCTTTATACAAAGTCAGGAAAAAAATTCTTTGAATGATTGTAAGTAATGAACAATCATTTTTCTGAAAAGGAAAAAATTTCAAGGTGAAGTTATCAATAATAGTTAACAGACTAATACCATGTTATATGTAAATTGGCCTGATGCGAAATAGATATCCTTAACATTTCCCTTGCAGTCTTATAGATTCTACTAGAAATTATGAAAGGTGCATAGAGTTAATACGATTAATGTGTAGCTATTTAGTATTATTTTTTTTTCACTCACTAACAATGTACTGACAATGTCTGAACATATTATTTTTAAAATCAATAAACCCTATTGCAAATTAAAGGGTCTCAACCAGGGTACATAGAACACAGAACTCTTCAAAACAAAAAAAATCTAATTACATTTACATCATAAATAGGGCTGTCAAAAATGTTAAAAACACAAGCCCAGGTACATGTCGATCCACAGAGTCAATGTCAAACTCCAGTTATATTTGATTTGTTTAATTCATCAGATTCTTCATACATTCATACATCGTTATACACAAAATTCAACAGAAGTCCTTCCCTAATGTATTGTACCTTTAATCTATAAATATATCCAACAGACTGTACATTTAATCAACACATGTATAAAGCAGCTCGCTGTAAGAGAGAAAAACACAACCATGCCCTATAAAGTTCTGTCTACAACTGCTGACAAACAAACTCATATGCCACAAAACAGACTACACAAATTGGTCATAATTAATGTCATCAAGTAAAATGCGGTAAAGCGTTTATTAACTAATAAATCTTTTAAAAGCACACCATGCACATTAAACACTAGCCAGTCTGCAACAATTATTAGTGAACTCCCATACTAGACAGCTGGGAATCCGAATTTTTTTATGACATGCAGGGAGCCATGAAAATGCTGAGAACAATAGGTTTTTTTTTAAAAAGACTTAACCGTTTTGTATCTTACAATGTTAAGTTTTACTCATTTGAAATTAATTAATTTTTTTTAGGGTTTATTTGAAATATATAACCTGTACTATAATTTGAACATAATGCAACATTTGCAAGATTTAATAAAAAAATATTATATCCTGTTTTCAATATTGAAATTTAGCCATTGACGGAAAACTCGTGGGAATGCATAATTTCTTTGCTATTTTAAGTAAACAAGGAGAGTGGTGTGTCAGTCAGATTTCACCACCATAGGGAATTAGTAATTTCATGTTTTCTTATTTTTTAGAAAACCACATAAGTAGAAATTTTATAGGTTTTTAAAAAAAGATTTTTTAAAATGGGCACTCGAGAATTTCTAAGGCAATTAGCCAAGGGCATGTACCTGGGCAACTGCTGACAACCCTAATCATAAATTAGAAAGAAATGCTTTACCTCATGATGCTAAATGGCATGGAGGAAATGCTTACCTAAGTGTTCCATGTATCCTGGTTTTACTATTTACCTGATTGCTTCCAAAGTGAATCAGAAGCAAGGGTGGTCATTGATATCTTTAGGCCACCTATTGCCTGCATTTCTTCATCCACAAGCCTTGTTAACTTTTCTAGAGATCGAAGACCTAAAGGTAAAATATGAAATCCTCCTGGGTGGCTCTGTGCTATAATGTCATTATATAACATTAACTGAAATGGAAAATTCAAAGGAAAAAAAAGTTTGGTACCATTATCAGTGCATCCTTAAATTTTTTAATAGGTTGCACTCTACAAATGAACAATATAAATCTATATGTGCATCAAAAAATTGCTAAGTCTAAGTTATTTTATAAAATAGAGGTTTATTCCTTAATATTTTTTAATAGCATAAATAATTTCTTATACTTATAGCAGAGCACTATGACTATACATTTCACAAATACACAGCGATTTGAAGGACTCATGAAGGTTTTATGTTCTTTAGCTTTAGCTTCAAAATAAAAGACATTCATTTAATATTATTTAAATATCCTTCAAGATGCAATTGACAATTTTAAATCAATGAAAAACAGATAAATATTTACTTTATGACTATTGCAAGAGAATCCTGATTCATGATCACGTCTTTCAGATTTGGCCTTTGGGTTTAATTTCCCAGAATTTTGAAAGAGTCTTGACACATAACGTCTGTAGCAATATGAACCCATCCTTATCTTAAGAAATCTATTAGGAAATAAAAAAAATAAAAATAGGTGGTTTTTTTTTAGTATTCTTCTAACTACATAGTACGGTCTTAGCCTTAGTGTCTATTCAAATTTTATACTATTAAGTTACTAAGGATTACTTAGTAAGTGTTCTAGTTCTGTCCTCCCAGGGAGTGAATATTCAAAGAAATTCTAAATTCTAGCATTGACTTTTAAGTTTAAGAGCATTAAGTAAGAGCAAGACTTAAGACTAATTTTAAAGAGTGCTGATCACAATTCTGAAATGTTCGAAACTAATAAATAGCTCAACTAAATTGCTTAGTGTAATAAATAGAGTATACCCTTAAATAGTATATAATATGCTATGATTAATATGATATAATTATGGCACTTTGACTTTATTACTTTAGTCTAGTTTTGGATCAAAGTTATAGTTTTTAATAGGACATAAAGAGAAAGTGAAAGACAATGACAATGTCAATGAAAATGCATGCTCACGGGCAACGAAAGAACTATTATAATGCAAAAAATTCCATAATTACCCCTTTTTTTTTGGATGAACTATTTCCTTATCAAAAGTATTGTTGTTCTTTTTTTCAAAGTAAAATATCCTCTTTTTGCTCAGATACAGAAACCATTAAACAAATTGTACGAGATTTAAAAAAAACAAACATTACATTTCATTACATGAATCTTCTGTCATTCACGGCGCTGTTGTGGTAAACCAAGGAGAACTCTTCTGTCTTCAAAGAAAAGTTGCCCAATTGGATGAAACTAGATTTAAATAAATGTATTTATTTGTATTAATTCATCTAATTATGTCTAGGTGTCCCATTTTCTTTCTAAACCAGTGGCCATAGTGGGTTTATTTAAGTATCTCATGTAGTGCTTCTTTCAGACATCTCTACCACGGGGAAAGTCAAGTGCTCCACCCTCGGAGCAAAAATAACGATTAAATATATTTATGTTTTTATTAAAAAAATACTAAATTATTTTTTAGTATCTGGTGCCTTTAACCGATTACAATTAGTAGACTCAATGAAATAACGCGACACTCGATATATTTGATGATAAAGCATAATCTTGTAACAGGCATATAGTGTTCGATTATAAATATCGTACTGCCCGTTCCTGATTATAAGCCAGAGACTTTCGTCCCGTTGTTTGCACATAAGGGCCATCCATACATGACGTCAGGCAAATTTTGCCCCCTTCCCCATCGTCACAAAGTGTCATTAAAAATTAGACCCCCACACCTCAGATGTAACGTCACACATGTCTGCAACCCCCCCCCCCTTTTTTTTTCAATGAAAAGGTCCCTGTGTCCACTACTGTCCTTTACAAACCCTTAAGAAATTCACCTCCCATGTATAAATTACTGAATACATGACATCAGGCAAATTTTGCCCCCTTCCCCATCGTCACAAAGTGTCATTAAAAATTAGACCCCCACACCTCAGATGTAACGTCACACATGTCTGCAACCCCCCCCCCCTTTTTTTTTTCAATGAAAAGGTCCCTGTGTCCACTACTGTCCTTTACAAACCCTTAAGAAATTCACCTCCCATGTATAAATTACTGCACCTGTGTCAGAAATATTTCACTAGAACAGTGGTTCTTAACCAGAAGTAAAAGTACCTCCCGAGCCCTTATGTGTGGAAGTGGAAGACCAAAAAATTGCATTTGCTGCCATTGCTAGTTGTTGCTGATTTAAAAAAAAAGATAAAAATAAATTTTATGCATTTTGATTAGAAGCAGTAAATGTTTTTCAGGTGAATTTTGTTGGAGAATTGCTTGTATTTGTAATTGCTATCCTTGTTTATAAAAAAACTAATTAAAGTACTAAAACTATGATAACTAAACAAATTATTTTTAATTTAATTACAATATAATTTACACGGTTGGGTGGGGGGATGGTTAGAACGGAGTGGACCTGCAGCGCTGCAAAAAAGGTTAAGAACCCCTGCCATAGAGCCATAGAGCCATAGAGCCATAGAGCAATAGAGCCATAGAGCCATAGAGCCATAGAGCATTTTCTAAGATCTCCCCCCCCCCTCCCTTTCCGGGTCACAATTTTTTCCCCTTCCAACCCACTTCCAGTGGCAGTCCTAATTCTATGACTCACGTGACCAGAGTTAGCCATAAACTCTCACGTGGTCGTCCTAATTCTATGACTCACGTGACCAGAGTTAGCCATAAACTCTCACGTGGTCGTCCTAATTCTATGACTCACGTGACCAGAGTTAGCCATAAACTCTCACGTGGTCGTCCTAATTCTATGACTCACGTGACCAGAGTTAGCCATAAACTCTCACGTGGTCGTCCTAATTCTATGACTCACGTGACCAGAGTTAGCCATAAACTCTCACGTGGTCGTCCTAATTCTATGACTCACGTGACCAGAGTTAGCCATAAACTCTCACGTGGTCGTCCTAATTCTATGACTCACGTGACCAGAGTTAGCCATAAACTCTCACGTGGTCGTCCTAATTCTATGACTCACGTGACCAGAGTTAGCCATAAACTCTCACGTGGTCGTCCTAATTCTATGACTCACGTGACCAGAGTTAGCCATAAACTCTCACGTGGTCGTCCTAATTCTATGACTCACGTGACCAGAGTTAGCCATAAACTCTCACGTGGTCGTCCTAATTCTATGACTCACGTGACCAGAGTTAGCCATAAACTCTCACGTGGTCGTCCTAATTCTATGACTCACGTGACCAGAGTTAGCCATAAACTCTCACGTGGTCGTCCTAATTCTATGACTCACGTGACCAGAGTTAGCCATAAACNAATTGTTGCGACTCAATATTATGTTCATTAGTTGTTGAACGCTTTTCCCGCGCTTGACTATTATAGTTAGTGAACGCTCTTCCCGCCATTGTCTCTATGACGTATTTTTATGCTGATTCGTGACGTATTGTCTATGCAGTATTGTGACGTATGTTTTAGTCGTGCTGGCAGTCTTGAGTGGAACCTTGGAGTGATAGGATGTTTATTATTTTAGGTCTGATAGCGAGCTGCGATATATTCAAGTGTATGTGTATTATATTTACTTAGATATTAAAGTTATAGTTATTATGAAAAGGAGTTGAGTTTGTTTAATGATAGTGAGAATAGTACGACGCTTCAACCCGTGAAAAGAACTGACGAATGCAATCAATTCAAGAAGACGTTAGGAGTTGACATGGGGGCTTCTCATCCGGGATTGGTGAACCTCGTTTTTTTCATACTTGAGGTAAAGTACAAGAACATTCTTATTATTCAACTTTAGTGAAGTTACAACCATCGTCGCATGTTCCCGTATTTCAATGTCGGAGACCCGCTGCCACCGTGTGTTAAGTTTATATGAGTTGCATACGCCAGTAACTCCATCAACCACCTACGTCCTGTATTAGGCTAGTTATGTCCTAATCTGCAACAGGCTAACTACGCCCTGCCCGTTATCAAGTTGTCACGTCCTGTCCAGTTCCAGTGAAATAACACACATCCTATCCCTTCAAGGTTCCACTCAAGACTGCCAGCACGACTAAAACATACGTCACAATACTGCATAGACAATACGTCACGAATCAGCATAAAAATACGTCATAGAGACAATGGCGGGAAGAGCGTTCACTAACTATAATAGTCAAGCGCGGGAAAAGCGTTCAACACCTAATGAACATAATATTGAGTCGCAACAATTACTAATGAACGCATTAAGCCCAGTGTGTGTTTTGAATACTATTTAAATTCTATAGGACTTTCCACGAACCAGGCAAGTTGGATTTTTATTGTTTAAAACATTTTTGGCATTAATTTTCTTATGACTTATGTATTAACATTTTTTTTACCTGGGTAGAATTTAGATTTTTGCTAGAGTTAGTTTAAACAGACTGCGATCAGTCCTTAAACCTAATTATTGTTTATTGTATGATCACCCTTAATTTGCATTGCTATGGCTGGATATGTCAGTAGGAAATGGAGTTTAGAAGAAATTAGGCATGTGGGAGTGTTACTTTGTTATACGGGAGAGAACCTAGAGGAGTATATAAGAGTTAAGTTTGAAGAACAAGAACTTAGAGCCACAAAGGAAGAACTTAGAGCTAGAGAGGAAGAACGTATAAATAGACAGAGAGAGGAAGAACGTATATATAGAGATAAACAGAGACAATTTGAACTAGATAAACTAGATGAACAAATTAGACTGGCGGAATTAGAGGCAGAACGAAGGGAAATTATTTTAAAGAGACAGGCATATTATTATAGCGACAGTGACGATGACGAGAGTCAAGGGGAAGAAATATATTATGGCATTGCCAGCATTCACTGTGAGAATCCCTATAAAAATTGTAATAGATTTTCTATTAATGTAAGTGAAAACAACTATGTGGATAACGGTGGACATACTCATGATCCTGACCCCAGGCAAGAGCCGGCCTCACAACCACGGTTCATGGCTAAAGATACTGAGGAACAAAATGATATTATTGCCTCTGCTGACGACTCAATTTTTTTAAATAGAAATGACAGTGAATTGTTAATTGGTCCGTCGGCTGACGTTAAAAGGGACAACGTTGACCGTGCTGACATACACCCAGTGCCAAAGGGTACAGATATAGCTTTAGATTCATGTCAAAACGAGGTTGAAGTGGTTGGTGTATCCCAGGAAGTCCAATGTAAAGAAGAAAGGGGACGACAATTTAATAAGGTGGAAGTCATTGGAAATGACCTTAGGTGGACGTATGTAGGGGATTGTCCCAGCGTCACAATATGTAATAAACTGGTGGTTATGGAAACGGGCGGCATTGAAAGCAAAGAGAACCCTGTTCTAATGTCTGAGGACATGATTTTTGTTGTATCTCATGGTGAGCCATCAGATAATGTAAGTCCTGAAGTTGATATTTTGTGTGAAGTTGATGAGGTGAGTGTAATCCCTGAGGTGGGGGAAGGAGAGAAAATTGTTGTTGATAATTATTGTGATGTAAATGGATCACTGTGTAATGTGAGCAAAGGTTGCTCAAATGTTGATATTTTTACAGAGATATGTACTGGTAATGAATATGAATTAGTTTATAATTTGAGCCAGGTGTGCTCAGGTTTTGATGTTACTGCAGAGATCTGCAATGAAAATGTATCACAAGTTGTTATGAGCAGCGGTTGCTCAAATTTTATAGTATTACAGAGAGCTGTATTGATGATGAATCAATAGGTAATGTGAGCCAGGGCTGCTCAGATTTTCATATTGTTGCGGATAGCTGTAATGCTAATGAATCACCTGTAAATGTGAGCCAGGGCTGCTCAAATTTTCATATTGTTACGGATAATTGTAATGATAATGAATCACCTGTAAATGTGAGCAAGGGCTGCTCAAATGTACATATTGTTACAGATAGTTTTAATGAAAATAAATTGCCAAGTAATGTGAGTGAAGGTTGTCCAGATTTTGAGAGCCAGGAGTGCTCTAACATTAAGTTGGAAACCAATGTTGAAAGTGTTAAAGAGAGCGCTGCCAGCTCTAAAGGTGCACTTGTTTATGATTTTCAAGAGGAGGTGAGTTGTCAGGTCCATGAGTTGGGAGGTGAGGCTTTTGTTTGTATTGTTAAAAAAAATGAATCTGTTAAAATGAACTATTACCATGATTGCTTTGAAGTTCCTGATTTGTTTGAATTTCTTTTTTATGAGACTCGTTTTTCATTTTGTAACAATTTAAAAATATGTATTGTAAAACTGAGGTTTCACATGAGTTATG